ACTTCATGACTTGCGATCTAGGCTCAGCATCATCCCACAAGATCCGACAATGTTTGATGGTACAGTGAGAGGAAACCTTGACCCTCTGAAGCAATACACTGACAACAGAATATGGGAGGTAAATTGGTAACTATTTATGGTTTTGTTATCATATATAGGCATACAGACTTGAATCTTATTATTACTAAGTTTGCAACTTAAAGGTAAAAAAGAACTCAGATCTATGTACTAGTTATGGTACTTACATAGTAACACTAAAAAATATTTACTAGAGTAAAGGAAAATAGGGTATGTGACAGAGTTCTTAGGATGTGAAAGGAAAATAATGATATCACACGTACTCCTGATAGGTATACCTAATTATAGCCAAAATACATATCAAGCATGGTTTTAAATATCGGCCGATAATCCAATATTATCGCCGAGTTATCGGATTTGAGATCTTTCCGCTAGGATAAGTAGGATTTTTAATCGGTTATCGTTTTTTAAGGTTTATCGGCGAGTTATCGGTGATAAAGGCACTTATCGGATGATAAGTAGGCTCTAAATATCGGCTCTATCGGCTGATAAGTAGAATTTGTGAGCTTTTACTTTATTTTGGATTTGCTCTTTGAATGTTTACAAATTATGAACTATTTGTTGTTTTTGAAACTTTGATTGGTGATTAGCTTACGTTTGTTTATGGATATTGATAATGGCTCATATCTACTAAATATCAACTTAGTAAGTTAGTTTATGAATCTCATGATTAAACAATAATTATGTAGATGCATAGATGGTTCTTCATTCTTGACGTTATCGTATTATTTGCTTGTTTATTATTCCATTTTGACTAACATTATATTTTTTTAAGCTTATGTTTGTTTATTAGTATTATTTGCTTGTTTATTATTCCATTTTGACTAACATTATATTTTTTTAAGCTTATGTTTGTTTATTATTTGCTAGTATATTACTCCGATAATATATTTTTTTAAGCTTATGTTTGTTTATTATTTGCTAGTATATTACTCCGATAAATACTACTTATCCCCAATATATTCCCGATTTCCACTGTTTGATAAGGATTTTGACTGTCCGATAAATCCCTGATAACCAACATTTAAAACCTTGATATCAAGAAATTCATATCTGGTACATTGACCAAACAGAGAATAAGAGGACGAGGTCTGTTGTTGACAGGAACGATTAGTTCAGGAGCAAGGATTATCTGGTGAAACCCTAGAAAACAAGCTGCCCTTACAGCTAAATGAACACAAATACTGTTCCTCAAAGCGCTTCCTGAATGTACCAAATATAATTCTCTGTTATGATACACTCTATTATGTTTGTGTATTTAGTTATCTTTTCAGAGAAAGAGAGAGGGAGGGGATATTTGTGCTTATTTATATTGAAATATCCCAATAAACTCTCTCTGATGATCTAGGTTCTCAATAAGTGTCAGCTTGGGGAATTAATACGGCAGAATGAGAAGAAATTGGATTCAACAGGTGATAATAACACAAACATCAACAATATCTAAATCTATTTTTAATCATAGCATATAATAATATAACCATCTCCTGATATTACAGTTGTTGAAAATGGAGAAAACTGGAGCGTCGGGCAGAGACAACTATTTTGTCTTGGAAGAGCCCTACTGAAAAGGAGCAGCATTCTTGTGCTAGACGAGGCAACGGCCTCTATTGATTCCGCTACTGATGGAATTATACAAGAAACAATCCGTCAGGAGTTTGCTGATTGCACAGTAGTCACCATAGCTCATAGAATTCACACAGTTATAGACAGTGATCTCATATTGGTTCTTAGTGATGGTATGAACTTTACAACATTATGAGATAAACAACAATATGAAATTACGTTTAAAATCTAACCGTTTGTGCTTATTTGCTGGAGCAGGAAGGATTATTGAATACGATACACCAGCCAAACTTCTGGAGAAGGAAGAGTCAGCATTTTCCAAGCTTATAAAAGAGTATTCATTGAGAACACAGAATAGCGTAATAGATACATAAGATTCTGGATATAAACACTGATTTTTTTTTCCCAAGGGGGTATGCCCATAAGTAATTTCTCAGCTTTGATGAAGTGAAACACTGAAAGATATCATAACTCAGAGGTATCATGTTCATTATAAAATAACCAGGCAGCCTATTTCCTGGAAAAGAAATGACTTAAGCAACTGTTGTAGTATTACAGCTAATGTAGGCAGAACTTTGATTCTAAGTGAAGCCAAATATATCCAGTTTTGAAATTTAGTTCTCACTGTCATTTACAATTATGCTTGGTACAATTCATATCACTGTATATTACGATTGTCCAGCTAAATTTGTCAAATGATCCTAATACAAATACAACCACTTCCTCTGTATTCTGAGGTACAAACACCAGTACGTATGTGGGAGACCCAACAGCTGATTGCAGATTCATGATGTTGGCAATTACGGATATGGATATCTAATTGCTTTTAATTTATTTTTTGTAATTGAGATGATTTTCAAATTAACATTGTTTCCTTGGATTGATTTAATTGGTCTACGGCTAGGATATGATACTTATCATATCCGTAACCGTTTACCAATCACTGATAAGAATATGAATACAAATATGTCTTTCTAAGAAAAACTCATATCCGTATACGCTAAAATCAGATATGGATATGGATATAGATATGGACAAATTTTTGAAAGAGACTTTTTTTTCAAATTTATTGGGCAAATTCGACCCCCAGAAAAAAAAGCAAAACCGACTGAAAAGGGTCGGTTTTTCAACCGACCCTTTTTGGCGAGTTGCACGGGACTAGTAGTCCCGTGCAGTTCGCTTAACCCCGTGACCCACCCCCAAAATTCATTTGCTCTCGTGACCACCCCCGCAAAAAAACACCCTAGCCCGCTGCCCTCGCCTACCCCGCTGCCCCTGCTCGCGACCCCGTCGAGCCGCCGACCCTGCGACCCCGCCGACCCTGTTGCGCCGAACCCTGTCACGCTGACCCCGCCGACACTGCTCTCGTGACGGAAGCCCTCCCCCCCCCCCACCCCAAAAAAAAAAAACACCCCGAACCTTGCCTCGCCCTACCCTGCTTGCCCCTGCCTAGCCGCTGCCCCTGCCCGCCGACCCGTTGAGCCGCCCGACCTTGTCGCCTGCTCTGAGGACGAACTGCACAGGACTAGTAGTCCCGTGCACTTTGTTTACTGAACACGAAATGCACGGGACTGCTAGTCCCGTGCATTTCGTAAAAGCCCCGCCGCTGCAAAACCAACCCTTTTCTTCTGAAAATGGTTGGTTTTGCTAATAATTTTTCTTGGAGGCCGAATTTGCCCATTAAATTTCAAAAAGGGTCAGTTTTAAAAATTTCTCCTATAGATATACATGCGGATGCAAAACGGATGTTTCATATGACAAAAGAGAGTTCATTAATATAATGTTCGTTATATCTAAAAAGCTAAAGATTAGATCTCTTGGTCATCAAAATTAACCTCAACTGCATTAGTCTAAAGATAAAAACAATTGCAGTTATACGGTCAACATATTCGGACAATTCGGATAAGGATACAGATACTTCACTACATATCCGCATCCGTAACCAGTTGGATGGATAATTCACTACGTATACCCACATCCCTAACCATATCCAACTTGAGCCAAATTCGTACATAACAGATATGGATACAGAAACAGATAGTGTTTTGCAACCCCTACCTGTGGATGCAGACCAAAGGTCTAACTACAGTATTTCCATGTGTTGCATCTTATTTCTCTTAATGGGTTTTCATTTGATCTATCCTTGAGGAAAAGTATGCCAATCATTCGAAAATATTAGATAGATGGTTTTCAATAATTCA